GAAGTAACCGGGTTCTAAGGGTCCCAATATCACGGGGTTGCTTTCATTGTTCATCGTTTCGATTTAGCCACTGAACTGGCGACCGAAATATTCCAGGAAAGCAACCCTCAATTGAGTGTAGTATCGAGTATCAACCAACCTCGGACTGCACCAAAGTCAAGTATCTCACTACCCTAAAGAGGCCAAGATAGTTCAATTAAGGTTCCTAAGGTCTGTTGATGCTTCATGACACCACGCGGAGGCCCCGTACTCTCCTTGACTGAACTCAAGGGTTACCAGTACACACCAAAGTGCCACATCAACGTAGCAGACTGTTTCAACCATGTCGGTATACCCCGCACAGTTCCCTCACAGCCTTGTTGCTACTTTCTAAGAAGGTATCCCCAGATCCGGGTTAGGATCTATAGAACTCCCAAGACAGTCCCCAAATTTAAAGCAAACAAGGAAAGCAATTGAAAACACAGTTATGAACTAACCCTAAGGTACACCTCACTTTAAGTTTGTATCCCCAGCAGAGTCGCCAGTTCTGTGATCGGTGGATCTGGAACTGACTGTTTAACGCTGGTTCGCGAAATGTCGCGGAAGCAAGAGTCGCCACCGTCTTTTATTTTCTCCAAATGGAAAGGACAAAAGCACAGAGAAATTCCTTAAAGAGATTGCTCTCGGTTCGGGAGGTAGATTATAGAAAGGGAAGGTGTTAGCACCCTTTCTATCCATGGTTATCCATGGGCTCTTAGATACTTGCTCACTTGTGTTTTCAAAAATGGTTTGTTTGCTTTTCAACTGTGGGTTTTAAAAAGTTTCTTTGAAAATTTCAGTTCGACTCTTGTATCGGTCCTCAAGAGTGTTTGAAAAATTGCTTTCGAAAGCTTTTTGAAAAGTGTCGGTGTGAAAAGTATTTTTGAATTTGTTTTGAATTTAGAGCAAGTATCTTAGAGTTGTCTACCTACCCTAAGGAATTCGTCTGTGTAAATGTCCTTTAAAGTAGTGCCATCCCACCATTGAGAGGTAGGTAGCACCACCGTTGGAGGTGTTCGGGTCAATTCGAAGGTTCGGGACATGGTGATCACCAGAGCAATGGGAAGACACCTTAGAAGCTACCCTCATGCCAGGTTCCCGGATCATGAGGACTTACTAAGACATCCTCTACTCGACGATCACCTTTCGAGGCAAGGCAACAGTGAGGCGTACCCTAGGGGTGGTGTGTGATTCGTGTGTCGTTTTCAGATATTTTTGTCTTTTGTCATGTCATGGGTGACCTAGCGTTTGTTTTTATTTTTGTCCATTCATTCTTTCATGCCTTGATTAATAGTTTAAAATATTGCGAGAAAAGTAAAGTTCTAAGCTATTACAAAAGGCGCGGGTCCACATCGCCAAAATTTCTTGAACCCGATTTGACAGAAAAATAAAGAAAGTAAAGAAAATAAAGTGCGAGAAATTAATTACACGGCTTTGGGAGAGATACATAAATATTAAAAGAAAAAGAAATAAGCACGCGAATTAAATAAGAATTAAAACGAGAGCGTTGGACCCTTTTTGCAAAATTAAATTAAATGATGAAATTAATTAATTAAGAAAGAAAAGAAATTGCTTTTTGGTATTTTTTGATTTTTATGAAAAAGAATTAATTAAAATAAATGCTAACCCTAATTCTAGTTGTTTTTAATTTATTAAAAAGAAGATTAAATTTTAACCTAAAATTAACCCTAATTAATTTACATGCAATTTAATTACAAAAATAAATATTTAATATTTTAATTATTATGAAAGAAAAATAAAAAGGAATAAAAATTATCATAAACCCTAATTCTATATTTTTTATTAAAAAAGTTAAGATTAAAACCTAATTTAAAACTAAGTGAATCAATGGATTTATTTACAAAAAAAATACTAAAATAAAATATTATATTTTTTCTCTTTTCTGATTTTTTATTGTTTTGTGTTTTTTTTTATGGAAAATAATTAAATTAATTAAAAAACAATAATTAAAGAAAGTAAAAAATAATAAAAAAAAACAAAGAATGAAAAAGTTTGCAAACCTAGGGGGTCTGCCCCTAATTTTGGAGGGTTTCCTTTTAGCAATTTGAGCCCAATGCTTCAGGCCTGGTGGACTCTCCCCACTAGCGTGCATCAGCGTTGACCCACGTACACCATGCTCTTCAGATCCTAGCCTTTGATTGAATCCGGTGGGACGCGTGGACGTTTGATTTTGAAGGCGTACGGTGTGCTTTGATATTGAATCTGCATAGGAATATTAGTTGAAAAACAATATTGAAAGAGTGAAGACCTGGGGCTCGAACCCAGGTCTTGAACGTTACCAGCGCTTATGCCTGCCAGTGGAGCTACCTTGTTTATCTGTACATCATATAATTAACGAATATAATAAAACAAAAAAAGTTAATGCTTCTTTTTTTTCGCGCGCGATTCAAACAATCCAATCGCTGACGGCCACCTCATCTTCTTCTTCTTTATTCCCTGAAACACAAAGGTAATAAGCAACGGTTTTTTAAGTGTTCTTTTAGGCCATCTTCTGGAAAATAGCGAATAGCCCCTGGGGCTTCATAAATTAGGCGCGATGGCCTCATTCTCTTCGTCCAAACGCCCTGAATTGGATGGTCTAGGTCTTACACGCCAATTGTTCCTTAAACGAAAACCCCTAATTTGAAAACCTAAGAACCCTAAAAAGCAACAATGGTGAATTTGCATACGATGTATAAAAACGCAATTAAAGTAGATGGTTAGCTTCAGAATACATCATATAGTATGAATCCATTAAAAATATGCAATGAAAATGTCTAAATCTTGAAATACGATTATGAAAAAAAATGAGAAAAGCTTGACTTCTGTACAATGATTCAAAGGGTTAGGGACTGTGTTCTTGATCCAGGAAGGTTGCTTGATGTCCCAGGAATACAATGGAAGGAGTTTCGTGGCTTGAAACGACCTCTAACCCTGTTTTCAGTTTTGAGTTTTTTCACCAAAAAGTCAAGTTTTCTAATGGAGTTTCTGCGCAGCTTTTTGTCAATATGCATGGGGGTTTTGATCCAGCTTATGTATGGAATGATTAGGTCAAATAAAATTGGTCCAAGATCCATGAATTGATGAATGTAATCTTTGATTTTTAAGCCATGATATTTTCTAATATTTTCGTGCAAATTGATATCAAATCATATCCAATCCTTCCCTAATTGATCATGCACGAATTTGAGTGTCCAATGAGAGTATTTTCTGCACAAAAAGATTTTATTTCATTAGTTTAGCATTTTTTTCATATTTTATTTAGTTTAAATGAATTAATTGTAATAAAAAATTTAAATAAATAAATAAAAATAATAAAAAACTTTCCTTTGGGCCAAATGGTCGCGTGCATGCTTGGGATGATGAATTGTGGAAGAAAAATAGGCCCATTCGCAATTTTAGGTCATTTGAATCAATGTTGACTTTTCAAAATATCCAAAAATTTCCCAACTTCCACAAGGCATAACTTGCTCAATTTTTAAGCTTTGCTCATGTTCTTGGACATTTTGGAAAGGTATTTGAGTCCTCTAACCAATGTCTTTGGTCCGATGTCATTTTGATTTACCAATCTCAAGTTATGGCCTTTGACTTAAAGTCCCTTTTTGTTGACTTTTGAAAATGACCTATAATGTTGAAATTGATAACTTTTTGTGAGAGCATTTCTTGGACTTGAAGTATGAATAGGAGTTGTAGGAAATGTCTTTCTCTTCAAAATGAGCTTTGGATGGAATTTTTCTGATAATCCATGTGAAAGTTATGCCCTGGTCAATTTACAGTTGACTTTTTCAGCTTGTCCAAATAAGGAAACTTTTGCATCTTGATGATTTTTGAGCCAAGCTTTGAGAATCATGATCAAGCATTGATCAAATGATGTTTGTGGCTTCAAAATGATATGTTGACCAAAAATTTGAACTTTTGACTGTCAAATGACCATTTTGCCCCTACAGTTGACTGTAGTGCAATTAGGGTTTTGACTGTGCAATTTTGTGCTGAAAGTCTTGAAACTTGATATGAGGATGCTTGACCATATTTGTAGGCATGTGGGACTTGATTGGACCCTTGGAAGCTTCATTTTCTTGATCAGAACCAAAACCCTAATTTTGACTGTTCAGGAGGCTCTTACACTGTGCAACCCTTGGGGAGATTTTGAAGCTTGACTTTGCAATCCTTGGAGAATATGGGAGGGCAAATTTTGGGGTACAACAATTGTGCTTATGATAATTACTCTTCAAACTCAACTTACTTCTATTAATAACATGTTTCTTGTTCAATTAATAAATAAGCAGTTATGGATTTGATATGCTCATAAATAATCAACCAATTGCATTTGATGGCAATATTGTGGTAGTAAATTAAAGAAGCGTGATAGCAACAACACTAAAAAATAAGTTGAGTTTTGCCACGTGAAAGCCACGCCGCTAACACCCAAAACACGTCACTACTCAAATTTTGCCACCTTAAAGAACACGTCGCTATACAGCGCGTGGCAATCTTGTTGCGGCGTGAAAAACATGTCACTAAGTTGCCACGTGAAATTCATGCTACAACATACTGTATAGGATAAAAGAATTCAGAGCAGAGCAGAGCAGTGGGTCAGAGCAGGCTTATAATTTTTGTTACGTTAGCTTTAGCGACGTGTTTTTCACGTCACTAATTAGTGACATGAAAAACACGCCGCAACCTTGTTTTATTTATAAAAAAAAATATTTTCTGTTTTAAATATATTAATTATGTTTTAATAATTAATATTATTTTTTGTTTTATTAAATTTATAAATTAAATATTATAATTTAATTATTAAATACAATATTATTAATCAAATTATCAAAAACAAAACTAAATATATCTAAATGTATAAATAAATAAACTTATATTATAAATTTAATAAACTCAAATTTAAATTTATAATATTTTTAAATATACCATATCATTATAAATTTATATTACACAAATAAAAAACTAAATACAAAATAAAAATAAAACTAAGCAGAGTCGTCGTCGGAAATGTCGGGAAGAAAGTCATCATTATTTGGGTGGTTATTATTTTGGCCACCACTGTTGGGATTTCTACCAAATGCTTGCATAAATTGTCGCATTTGCTCCTCCATATCAGCTTGCCTCTTCGCCATTGCCTCAATTTGTCTATTATGTTCACCCCTCATTGCCTCCATTCGGGCATCCATTTGGGCATCCATTTGGGCCTTCAATGCCGCCTCACGATCTTCGGACTCGCGTCTAGCCAATTGTCTTACCAGTTCTAACTGATCCGGTGTCAAAATTTGTTTGACGTGAGCCTCCTTCACCGTCTGCAACTCTCTGATACAGATTTCTATCCCCACTCCTCAAGGTGCCCACCAAATTTCCACCACCAAAAAAACACCCGTTAGGCCCCTTTCCCCCAACAACTTGACTCCAAATATAGAAATCCACATCTGGGTGAACCGGTTTTTCTGGAGGAGGCGTATACTGAGGATTATGGGTCAGAAATTCTACAAGCAACGCCTGATAATCCTCCTACACATACAATAAAAAAATCAAGTTTAATTTATAAGTAACATTAATGAAATTAAATGAAATAAATAAAAAATAAAAAATAAATAGCCACGTGATTGTAACGCCACAACTTATCAGTTGCCACTCAATTTTCACGCCACAACATGTCATTTGCTACATGAAAATCACGTCACAAAATTGCTTTAAAAAAAATATAAACATAAATTTACTTACCAGGGCTTTTTTTGTGCGCTCGTCAGTAAATCCTCCCGATTTCTTTGTCCGAGTCTCCTTAACCAGCTCCGTCATCAATGATTGTCTCCCCAAACGCTTAGCCTAAATATAAAAATTAACTTAAATTAATAATATGTTATAAATCCAAATATGACCTTAAAAAGTGGTAATAATTACCATGCGTCGAGCATGCTCAGCAGTACTAATACTTCAAACAGCATTAATGCAACCCCCTTTTTCAGATGCCCTCATCTTCTTTACAGTTTCAGATTTAGCCTTAAATTCATCTGATTCCCAATACTTAAGAAGTTGTTCAAAAACTTTTTTGCCTATCCATTTGGGACGAATGCCCAAAAGGTGTCAATTCTCTCTAACACGTCGTAGCATGTCAGAAAGTCGTCTTGAACTCCTCCCAAAATAATTTTTTTTACTTTGTTATGGTTCAGGGGATCCCAAACATATTTCGCCTGCAATATTGTATGACATTAAAATAAATAGTTAGATAAATTATAACAATAATGAAAAAGTCATTTAAATAAAAATAACTTAAGAAATAAATTAATTATACCTGAAATTGCTTGAACCATTCTTCTTTATCGGAAACTTCTCTAAAACTCTTCAAAAATGTTGTATAATTCTGCTAAATTATATAATTGATAACCTTAGCAGCAGTCCGACTCGGCCAGAAACTAAAACAACAATAATGGAATTAGCATAATTAATTATATAAAGTTATATTAAAAATGGAAATGTGTACTTATAAATAAAAATCAATAAATAAGAAACTTACGAGTTCCCTTCAGGCCATATCCAAAATCTCCCATCAATGGTATAAATCTCACTCAGATCATCATCCCCTCGAAGATCTCTCCCATCTATCTGATCATCATCCCCACCAAGATCGTCATCGTCCGACTCTGTGTGGGATGTGGGGGTGCGACCAGTCTGTGTGGATCGTGAAGAGGTGGATCCTCCAGGCTGCTGGACAGATGGGGGCATCTGGGTAAGAAGTGGGGTGCTGGATCCTCCAGGTTGCTGCACGAATGAGGGCATCTGTGTGGGAAATGGAAAACTATGCTGGAAGGATGAGGGCACCTGTGTCTGCTGGAAGGATGGCACCTGTGTCTGCTGGAAGGATGGCACCTGTGTCTGCTGGAAGGATGAGGGCACCTGTGTCTGCTGGAAGGATGAGGGCACCTGTGACTGCTGGAATGGTAAACCAGGTGGGGCCCCAGATGGACTAATAAAACATGTACTCCCAGATGGGAACTGAAGAGGACTCTGAGATGATAGTAATGGAGTAAATGGCATAGTACTGTCCATGGACATATGATGAACCTGACTCTGCGGGGGAGGACACGTGACTGAGTGAGGTGACTGGCATACTACTACCCTTGGACGCCTGAGCTTCCTACCACTATCACTAGGACCTTTACCCTTATTATCTTTGGGTGGCATTTTTACCTAATTAAAGAAAATACAAGTTAACATATACATATTCTCATGAATACATATTCATTAAATCATTCAATAAATGGTTCTTTGAGTAAAATTACAAGACACAATTCTCATGAATACATATTCATTAAATCATTCAATAAATGACATATGTTGGAAAGTCGTTAATGGTCCACATCAAGGCAGCTCGCATAGAAAAGTTTTGTTTACGGGATATATCATAAGTCCATTCTCCATTATTCCACAACCTCTTCAAATCAACAATTAAAGGTTGTAAGTACACATCAATTCCGGTTTTTGGACTCGACGGTCCTGGAATGACGCACGTCAAAAACATGTATGGTTTTGTCATGCACATCTCAGGAGGGAGATTGTAAGGGGTTACAATAACTGGCCAACAAGAATACGCACTTCCGGATGCTTGGACATATGGAGCAAAACCATCAGAGCATAATCCAAGCCTGACATTTCTAGGTTCAGCGGCAAAATCAGGATGTACCTCATCAAAGTGCTTCCATGCATGGCCGTCAGATGGGTGTCGCATATTGCCTGGGCTTGTTTTGTTTGTATGATGCCATGTCATTTGACTTGCACTGTGCATTGAAGAAAACATTCTTTTTAACCTTGGTATTATAGGAAGATAAAACATGGACTTTACTGCTACCCGTTTTTGGTTACTGTTAATGGCTCTATTGCGGACTTTATATCTTGGACTATGACAAAACTTACATTCCTCTGACGATCCATCTTGAGTACCAAACTCGTTGTCATAAAACAACATACAACCATTAGTGCAACAATCAATCTTTCTTACTCTTAAACCCAACTTCGACACCAACTTCTTTGCATCATAGAAACTCGCAGGCAAGTTGTCTTTCGTTGCAGTTGAGTCCAACATCATTTTTGCGAAGTGCTCCAAACACTGATCAGGAACATTCCAATTTGACTTGGCGGCCAATAATCTAACACACATTGATAGCTTTGAGTCTGACGACCCCTCAAACAACGGCGTATTCATCTCATTCAACAACTGATAAAATCTCTGCGCTTCCTCATTCGGCAACTCTTCCCCGTCAAAGTCTTCAGGTTGATCATAGGTCACGTTAACACCAAAAGCATCACCAACCATGTCACCTATCAGATTAAAGTTTTCTTCAAATTCCATAGGTGGTTGCATAACCGGTTGACTACTTGAAGCATCTGTGTTGCTAGTCTCTGGTACATTACTCGACAGTGTTTCACCATGATGCGTTCAAACCCAATAATTTTCAATGAAACCTTTCCTATGCAAATGACGTGTTATTTCCTCTGGGTCACTAATTATATATCTACATCCACATTTAAGACAAGGACACCTAACTCCTCCTTCACTTCGACAACGTTCCCGGGCAAACGTCCACGCGATAAAACCATTAACCCTGTCTATAAAATTGGGTTTAAGTGCGCGTCTTCCTGGATATAGTCTATCGTACATCCAACTACGATAATACATATAATATTCCATTTACTACAAATTTATATAATCAAAACCTATTTAATTAGAAATATTAATTAATCAACTTAATAATAATCCTAAACATATACAATTAAAGATAAATATATGCTTTCAACAATATTTATAAACTCCTAAAAATATTTTTAAACACTTAAATTTTAATTTAAACACCTAAATTTTATAAACTCCTAAAAATTTAAAAACTAATTAAACTCCTAAAAATTTAATTTAAACACTTAAAATTTATAAATTCCTAAAAATATTTATTTATTTTTAAACACTTAAAATTTAATTTAAACACCTAAATTTTATAAACTCCTAAAAATTTAAAAACTTATTAAACTCCTAAAAATTTAATTTAAACACTAAAAACTTATAAACTCCTAAAAATAAAAAAAACTTAAACTCCTAAAATAATTAAACTCATTCATCATCACAAATTAATAATTAATAATTATTATAAACTAAATAATTAAACCTAACATTTAACTCAAATACAGAAAATATATATATAACCCAAATTCAACAATTTTAACCCAATGCAAATTAATCAAAATCAGAAAATATACTAATTTAAAAAAAAAAATTCAAGACATACCTTTTATCTTGTAACTCCTTCAATCTTCTTGTCCCTATTTGCAATCTATACTTCTAGATTCTCCTTCTCTATTCAAAGAAAAATTGAAAAAAATTTATACTCAAAATAACACATCAAAAGCAATTAACAAAGTATATAAAACATGAAATTGAAATTACCTTACAAAATGGATGAAGATGGTAGGAATTAAAGGGTGGAGAAGAAAAAAAATTTGGGAAGAAAATGGGTATGGTTGAAGAGTGGGGAGGAAAATTTGTTGTGAAGGTTGAAGATGAAGAAGTGGGAGAAACAGAACGTTGTGGAACGTTTTCACAAATTGCATAAACCACCTAGCGACGTGAAAATCACGCCGCAACGTTGCCACGTGATTTTCACGTCGCAACAAATTTATAATTGCTTTCCCTTCCTTCAAAGCCTGCACACGCCAGTCTTGGAAGTTGTGACTGAATTAAATTTTGTCATATTTTAATTAGCGACGTGAATCCCACGTCGCTACTTTTTTTAATAAACAAACGTAACTGACACACTCAATGTATCAGTTTTATATTATTAAAACATGTTGCCACGTGATTTTCACGTCGCAACTGGTTTTATTTAGCCACATGAAAATCACGTGGCAACTTCACGTGGCTGGGGAAGCTTTTTCTTGTAGTGCAAGTTCTATTAATATTTATTTATTTTTTACAGAAAAAATATTAGCAACAACAAGTGTTTTTGGTCTTTTTTTTCTTCTTCTTATTGATGCAAAATGTATTTTTATTTTTAAAAAAATTGGAAAATATACATGTTTTTAAAAAAATAGGAAAAATTAACAAAATAATAGTTTTATAGTTTTGATCGAAAAATATATAAATTTTCTTAATATTCAATCTTCGTGGATCTCCGTGAAGATATGTGAGGATGGAGATGTGAGGAAATATTTCTTTGTGGCGGGAATTGGGGACGAAGATGTGGAATAATATTGGGAGCGGGGCGGAGAGTGGAAAATCATCATCTAAACATTCTCTGCTCAATTGACATCTCTATCGTGGGTAACTCATTTTACACAAATTCTAAACGAATTTGTGCGAAATAATTCGCAAAAGCACCACAAATTGATATTACGAATCAATTCGCAATTCGTAAGAGGGGCACATGTGAATACGTAACACCTATATCTCATTAAGGTATATCAATTACATTATTTTAGATATTTTCTAAGCTCAATAATTTGTTAAATTGATCTATCTTATCCAACACATATATTAACTCATTAGAAACATTTCAAATCGAAATTGGATATAAATCACCAATTATTCTCTATTTGAATCGTACATATAATACTACGAGCATTCTAACACAAATTTATAACTTACTTTACAATCACTCAACCGCGCACACAAACACAAAAATCATCTTTCAAGAATATACTTATCAAATGATCACAATACTATTCTTTCATTCACATGTAATCTCTTTTTCAATCATAAAAACATAAAAACATTCAATTAATGACAACATATTCAAACTAACTTACAAGCATACATACATAACTTAAGCGCATGAACATTTTCACAGTCTAAACAACAAAATCAAGTCTCAAGGTCTTCGTGCAGGATGCTTGGAACCCAAGTAATGGTTTTTTTTTTCAATAAAAAATGAGTTCATGTGGTTCAAGATCAAAATACTGAGCAATGATCAATCAGAAAATATAGGATAGAAATACCATTTAAAGCCTAAAAATCATATTGACTATATAAGGGTCCCTAGAGAAATTCAAAAGAATATAACACAAGATCATATGAATCTAAAGCTACAAGTTAACATTCTTCACAATGACCTGCTTCAATCACAGTTCTAAATCTTGAAATTCCAAATCATCGTGCTTAAAAGTGCACCTGATAGCCTCCCTGATGTGTATTGTACACCAGAGTTGGACGGGTAACTAGCATGGATCGGAAAAGATTGGTTATTCTCATGGTATGGTTAACATGGTGCCTTACCATTTGATAGTGATAATAGTTCATTCGTCTGGTATGATCATAGACTTGGACTCTGCGATAGACTTCGCACCAATACATACGGGTGCTGTGGAGGTGAACATGAAGACGATGGTAATTGTATGCCGTCATTAATCTGCGATATCGGTCGCAGCAAATCATGTTGAGGCAACTGTTTGGTCTCCACCTCCTTGAAGCAGATGATTCAATGTTATCGTTATTCTGTGGCCTTTGCTGCTGTTCTGGTGGTGGCTGCGATACACTAGGTGTTGGTCGCACTGGCACGGATAAAGAAGGTGATGGTGGCTCTGGCAGTGATAAAGAAGGAGATCTTGGCTGCGATGAAGGAGATGATGATTGTGGTGATGGTGGTGGTGGTGGATCAATATCAAGGTCTGATTGTGGTAGCTCCGATAGCCATTGCTGCAACATAGATTGCGGTGGTTTCTGCCTTGAAGAGGGTGGTGCAAAAGAAGGGGAGGATGATGTTCGTAGCTGCAGTGAAGCTTGCCTTCGCCGCCATAAAGATTGCTGTGGTGGCCGCGGTGGAGGTATTGGTGCAATATAATCGATTGTTGGTCCTTTTGGCGCGGGTGAAGATTGTTCATTAGATTGAGCTGGTTTCTTTAATAAAACTTCTCTTTGCCGCAATATAGGAGGTAGTGGTGGCCGCGATGATGAAGGTAGCGGCGGTGCATTGGAATGAGATGGCGGTGGTGGCGGTGATGATGATGACTGAGGTGGGGGTTGAGATGAGGAAGGTTCTGCCACAGCTGGTTTAGATGACGATCTTTCTTCTTTCTCTGAATCCAGTGTTTGTCCTTTATCTTTTCTTCTCCAAACCCAACGTTCATTCTTTTTCCTCATGCCGTGGCGTGACGGCGGCGGTGGGGTACCGGAAGCTTCGTTTGGATCCATAACAAGTGACTTTCAGTTACAGTGTGTATAATTGTATGCTATGCTTCTAATTCTAAATTCCAACTTACAAGAAGATAATATATGTATAAAAACTAACTATAACTGACTCATACAAATTCCGTTATAACTGTCTGACACAGCTTGTGAATTTTGAGAGTCGGTTAACTATTTTTATTTATTTATTTAATTGAATAGTGGACACTAAAGACATTGAAATTCAACAATTGTCAGCTAAAGTCTTTTTTTTTTTTTTAAAATTGATTGCAAAATAATTTAGTAGTTTGAAGTTTTAAACATCTGTTAATCAATCTGTTAATGAATATTACAAGTAGTAAGAACGAAAACGAGAACAACAGAAAAATGACAGTAGTATTTTGGTAATAAATAATTTTATTTAACTTATATTAATGGTTGATGATCGAAAATAAAAATTAAAAGGAATGTGATTGTGTTATAATATTTCATTTGCTAAAGGAGTATAATGTGTATTTTCACTATTTTGTAATAAGGGTGCGTAATTTTAAATTTTATTAATATAATATTTCAATAATTATTTTAGTTTTTTTTAATAAAACAACAATTTATTATGAATAGGCTAGTTACAATTCACCAACTAAAAATCAAATTAAAATATAATTTTATGACAAAAGTATTTTTCATTCTAAAATAATTAAGTTGAGTTGAAATTAACAATAATTTTTCGTCACAAATATTTTAATAAAATATATTATTTTATTTGGAATAGAATTGAAATATCATCCCACCTTAAAACATATTGATATTTAAGTTTAAAAATAATTTTATACATATAATCAATTAAAAATTTTATATTTGTCATGTCATTTAATATTTTAATAATAAAATTGTGATTTATTATGATACAGAGTGTCAGCACATTTCATTTTTCTGTTGATATTTTTCGTGAATTTTTTTATTAATAACCATGTATTAAATAATATTTCGCAAATAACTGGATTTCGAAAAAAATTACGCAAATAATCATGTTTCAGATGACTCCCCAAAGGAGGAGCCATCTCACTTGGCGCCTCCACCTAGGGTTTTGCCCTAGGCGCCATCTCACTTGGCGCCTCCCTTGGCTTTTAGCCAAGTGAGATGGCGCATGCTCCTTAAAAGTGAGAGGAGGCGCCATCTCACTTGGCTCCTAGGGCAAAACTAGGGCAAAACTAGGGCAAAATGCTGTTTTATAAATAATTCGTCTGTTTCTTCGAAATTTCTCACACTTTCTCGCACTGTATTTTTATTTTGTACTATGTTATTTGCGTCATGACGTCGCCTATGATTTTTAGCAGAGATGGTTACGTTATCTTCTCCGCCACGAAACCTGTGATGAAAATGAAATTCTGGCACATTCACTCCATGGAGCGTCTGAAGTGGGAGTTGATGCGGTGGCTAGATGGAGACATTGCGGAGGGGGGGAAAATTCGAAGGATCCAGCGAAAACGAACAACAACCTCACATGCGACAGGAAGACCTAATGTGTGGTTGGAGGAAGTCAAAACAGACAGTGATGTAATGTTGATGATGCATGGGTCAGATGAAATTGTGTTAACAGTTGTAATTTCCTAGATGGAATATCGTTAATTATTGTTGCACGCATTTTATTAATTGTAGCAAAATCTGTTAACGGAAAACCCAAATGTTTACAACACAACTATGAAAAGATTTTATGTATTACAATATTTATGTGGTCGAGTCAGACGCCCGATTCGGACAGTTTTTACGATTGTGTCCGACCTGACGGCATAAACCACACTTTCTTTCCAACCTGTCAAGATCGTCCATTTCTGTTGTGATGCGCTTACTTTTGGGACGACCCTTCTTGTTCCTTCGCATTTGGTCGTTGTGCCACACTATTTCGCCGTCGTATTCAGGCCAATAATCTGGTTTTGCTACCAAAGGAAAGTTGTTGTTGTAAATATTGAGCAACGTTTCAGATTTGTAAATGTTTGACAGAAGTTGAAGCGCGTCTTGATGGGTATGAGCACAAGCGGCAATGACATGAGAGCAAGGCATACGAAATGCTTGAAACCTGCCACAATCGCACCATTGAGAAGGTAAAATGACCTTGTATTCTTGTCTTGGCCGGCCTTCATTGTGGTCGATTGTCTCTTTCACAATGAAGTTGTGGCTGTGTCGGTCAAACCGTATAACCATGTGAGTGTTGGCTTTAGCACTTTCAGCCTTAATGTATTTCATGCAGCTTTCACTCCATAGTTGTCCAGATTGCAACACCGCATTCCACATTTCACCTCTTTTTGCAAATAATGTAGCCATCCTAAAATACGTAGATTTTACCAAGGCAGTGATTGGGAGGTTTCGTATGCCCTTGAATACCCCATTCATTGATTCAATAAGATTCATTATCATATGCCCCCATCTTTGGCCATTGTCGTATGACCTAGTCCATTTTTCCACCGGAATATTGTCGATCCACCTACCGGCTTCCGGATTAGACAAACGGATCTCGTTGCGGTAATATTTGAATGTGGGTTGTGTCAATGCATATCCCGCATTCATAACCGCTTTCCTCAATGTTTTGTCCTTGACCTCCCTCGAGAAATTCTGGACGATATGCCTAACGCAATAGACATGCGTAGAAGGAGGGTCATGCCAACCATTTGCTGGATTATTGTAGGAACTTTCAATGGAGGCATGTCTGTCTGATATCAAACAAAGATCTGGTTGAGGAGCCACGTGTGTCTGCAGATTTTTCAGGAAAAAGCTCCAAGCACCACCGGTCTCCCCCTCGACAAGGGCAAAGGAAATGGGGAAAATGTTGTTGTTGCCATCTTGTGCAACTGTCACCAATAGCGTGCCTTTGTACTTCCCATACAACCAAGTCCCATCAATTTGTGTAATTGGTTTGCATGATGCAAACCCTGTGATGCATGGTTGAAATGCCCAAAACACGCGATTGAATATGCCGTTGCCATTCATTAGACTACCATCTTGGGCGTACGCTGGCAATGTTTCCAGAATGTAAACACTACCTGGAGAATACGTCTTGAGTGCATTCAGGTAGCGGGGAAGTTCTCGGTATGACTCCTCCCAGTTTCCTTACACCCTTTCAATCGCCTTAGTCTTTGCTAACCACGCCTTACGGTAAGACGGAGTGTAGTTAAAAACCATGGTGATGTGGGAGATGATTGTTTTCACCTTCAAAGATGGGTCGTTGCTGACCAGGGGTAGGATTTCTTGACAGATTAGATCATAGTTGAGTTTTTAGTGGTCCTGTGATTGAGTGGAACTTACACAAGTGTGGGTAGTCATGGAACCTATGACCCAACAGTCACCCCTTAATCTGTATGATGCGGTCAGCTTGAACATACAGTCAGGGTGGACACACTTGATCTTGTACCTTTCTGGGTTGACACGATCCACCTTAAAATCAACCGAGTTGAGCATGTGAAAATTTTTAATGGCCCTGATGCATTCCTCTCTGTTACGAAACTTGTCCTTCTCTTTTAAATTTTCATCCGACTGCATATACGGATTGAAAAATAAGTCAGTAGAAGGTTCATCTTCGCCCATGTTGAAGTTTGTCATGTGCGGAGGTGGTGTGTAGATTTTGTTTGCAGGAATACTTGGGATGCCATCATCGTCGGAATCATCATTCACCATTTCATCAAACTCTAACTCGTTATCTTCTTCTTCATCATCAACTGCATTTACCTCAGCTTGTTCATTCTCCAAAGGATCAACCTCCTGTGTCACCTGAGGCTGAGGCTGAGGCTCTCGCAGCAAAACGTACAACTCAATAGAGTCATATCCGAAATAGACATGGCTGGAAATCATATTCTGGAGATTCTCGTCATCTTGAACTTCAACTTTATAAAAAATTACTTGGTTGTTTCCAAAGAAAACTGGATTCTGATAAAATATCTGGGACACTGGGCCTTGTTCAAGTTTGGCCTCCAATCTTTTTTTGAAGTACGAGAAATTGGCTTTCCCGTTTAAGAGAAATCAGATGTTGTCTGTGTCTCTAAACAAAAACCCAGCGGTGGGACAAATGTATGTCTCACCGTTGAAATGTGCTTTGACGACAAATTGTGGTGAAGAGGCCATTGCGTAGAATTGTTTTAAGGTTTGAAGCTTGGAATGTTTGAGGTTTATTAATTGTATGAAGGTTTGAATGCTGTAATGTTTGAAGGTTGGAATGTTTGAATTTTATGAGTGATTCGAAGGTTGGAATGTTTGATTGTTTGCAGGTTTGAAAGTTTGGTTGTAAGACTAAAGGCTATTTGAGATTATGTGAATCAATGTTATGATAAAAATTTCAATTAAGTAAGGATGCAACCCCCCAAGGCTGCCAATAATGTTACATGCAAGGAATCCCAAAGGCTGTCACGTAGCCTGAGCCTAGGCTGCAACAAAGGACACCTCTTATTCGCCAATTGGGGTGGCGACACCATTCATTTTTGTACTCTTTCGCCAAGTCCAATGGCGCCTCCCTTACTGTCCAATCGTGATACATGCATGGGCTGCCACCTAGCCTGCAAGAGTGACACATTTCATTTTTTGTACATGCATGCATGCATATGTGTAACCCCATAGGCTGCCACCTAGCCTGCCCCAAGTCTCCACCTACACATGTATTTTGTAAGTCTCCTCCCATCAACTCCAATGGGCTTACATGCACTAATGCAAGGAATCCCAAAGGCTGTCACGTAGCCTGAGCCTAGGCTGCAACAAAGGACACCACTTATTCGCCAATTGGGGTGGCGACAACATTCATTTTTGTGCTCTTTCGCCAAGTCCAATGGCGTCTCCCTAACTGTCTAATCGTGATACATGCATGCAGTTTTGTAACCCCCTAGGCTGCCACCTAGCTTGCCCTAAGTCTCCACCTACACATGTATTTTGTAAGTCTCCTCCCATCAACTCCAATGGGCTTACATGCACTAATGCAAGGAATCCCAAAGGCTGTCATGTAGCCTGAGCCTAGGCTGCAACAAAGGAAACCACTTATTCGCCAATTG